AACAGTAATGATTTAATGCATACACTATAATTACAAAAAAAAACCCTATATATTATATTATACCTAACCGTTATATCGGAATACTTATAATAGGTTTTTTATAGATGTGGTGCAATTTTTAAGCTATTTATTGGCATTTCATTCTTTTCAATTTGTTTAACTTTTATATGGTGTTATATGAATAAAATTATTTACTGATTGGAAATAGTTGAAAATTATACACAAGGTTCATCATATGTTATACCTCATTGGTAATAAAAAAAATAGTTGAACCTTATACAATAGTTTTTTATAAAAACGGTTTAAGTCCAAATAATAATGAAAATCGTAACAACAACGATATTTCAAAATGTATACAATAACTGAACTTCGCTTCGAATCGTATTACATTACTAATTACTTTTTGTTACGTACAAATATAAATTAAATTACTTTAACTATCTAACTTGTCAACTACCACAGTGGCTCGCCCATCACAATATCAGTTTTTTTTTTATTTTTGATTTTTTACCATGTGATAGCCGTTATGTTATTACAATTGTTAATTTATTACTATGGACGAAAAACGCTTTCCAAGGTCAGTAAATTTGGTATTATTGGAATCGGATAATATGTAATCACAATTTTCTAACGATTTTAGGTAACGCTTGGTTTTTACACGTTTAAACAAATTAGAATTGGCATATATTCTAAAATGTTTTAAGAAAATATACATAGTTATTCCACTCCACCACGTCCTCCTATACTTCGAAAAATTAACCTCGCAAAATCGAAAATATGTTGATCTCCGCGAAATGAAAAAATATTATTATCTGAAATAACTTTACTTGAAATTATTAATAAATTGTAGATGATTATTTTAACGCTCTAAAAATAATAATAAAATTCCTTAAAAAAGTAACGAGAAAATGCCATCATGGTTTTTTTTCTCAATACTGCATTTACTCAGTTTATTGTATTATTATATCATCGCGTGAACCTCGGATATCGATAATATCGAACATTAATAACCTTTTCATAACAGAACATTCCTTTACGGTTATGCATACCTCTATACAAGATAACGAGTGTAAAATTAAAAAATTAATATTTGATTCTGTGGCAAAAATAAGTATCCTATAAATCCATGTAATGACAAATTTTTAACCACCCACCCAACAGAACTCTAGTATTTTTTCTCAGCATTACTGTAATTAAAAAAAATAAAAGTAGCTATTAGTTACACAGTATGATTTTTTATAATAAAATGGTAATATTATAAAACACAAATTGACAAATTCATCGACAATGGAATAATCCCTAAGCATTTATTTTTATCAAATAATTATTACGTAAAAAAATTCACAAAATTAAAATGTCTTTAAATAGCACAAAAATGGCTCGAATGATTTGTGTGTTTCACCACGTCTATAAAGCAAATATAAGTTTTCTATCAAAATTTCAAATCTCCACAAATATTTTTAACTGAATTACATCAAAAAAAAAATTTCATACATTTTCCCATTCTTTCTACGTATTTTACGGTTTTTCTCAATTATTAAAAAAACTACAAAGAAAATCAAAAAAACGATTTTCTTACTCAAATATAAAATTGAAAATTCAACAAAACATATCTCTTGTCATTTTTTTATTTGAGTAATATTTATGATAAAAAACATAAGCCATAAAAGTTTAAAATAACTAAATTGTTACGCCATAATTTAAAAAAAAATCTCATTTTTCGTCGTTTTTTTTCCCCCAATTATTATGAAAACTACTTTAGGCATTAAAAAACGAATTGCTCTATCAGTAGCTATAATATTAAAAGGAATAAAATCGATTTCTTGTTATTTTTCAATGCTTTTCAATGCCCCTGTTATCGTGTATACAAATTTAAACAATAAAATCGCCAGCGGTAACACCATGCCGCGGCGCTTCGTAAACATAGGTATTTGCCGTTTTATCTATACTTTTTTTTCGAGTTTTTCCCCAAGTATTTTGAAAACCGGTTATTTTGATAGTAAGACAAAATCACTTTTCACTAAATCAATTAAGTGGATTAATCAAACCATTTTTTTTAGCCTGTTAATTCGTTAATTTGTGCACTTTGCCGAACTAATTTATTAATAATTATTCGTTAACATGACCAGCCTTGCAAAATATATCATTCGGTAGACATATGGGCTGATTACCTTTTTTTTTTTTAAAAGACAAATTAATGTTGCATAGAAACCCATACTGGGCATAATTATCATAATAATACTCCACGTGAAATAATTGATTAAATAACAATCAAAGAAAGAAAGAAATCGTATTTGTTTTATGCTTTTATGGTTACATTGTTATAATATTATTCATATTTACTTAAAACACTACGGTAATTACGAACAAACCAATGATACGAAAAAAATTATGTGTACACAATAGTGTAACACCAAAACACAACAAAATATTAATTAATTAATTAAAAACGACAAAATGTAATTATTATAAGCTATATTTAAATAATATTTGTATGCATTTTTTTTTATAGAGTTTTGCAAAACTGCTGTATTGTCTCTTTTTTAATAATTATTATTTAATAAAATACCTCTTATTTTTTCTATGTTTCCAACCCTACACAAATAATATATAGGTGTCCATTATTTTAAAATGCTGACTATTAAAAGAAAATGTCAAAACACCCGTCCGCGTAAAATAATGATATCGTAAGAAAATATTATTTTCCATATAATTTTCGTTCTTCGCTTTATAGCTGCGATTAGTCTTGAGCATAGGCTTTTGTTTTTAAGCTTTTAACAGGTGGCGTTCAAAACGACAATGGCGTATCGGTCTCAAACCTTACCGCATTAGACAATATTTCCCCCCGTAGATTTAATAATTACAAACTAAATACCAGGCTGAGTGATTGATCATGGATCTCTCTTCTCTCATCGTGTAAATAATAATAATATTAATAACAAAACATAAAAATTTGCAATTCATATAAATAATTTATCACTGGTACTCGGTGTATACAAAATAACATTATTTCTGTTTTTTTTTTTTTTTTTTTTACATAAACAAAATATTCAAACCTTCTCACCGTGAGTAAGGCCATTGCGGTTAGATCAGTTCTGACCTAGGCAACTGTAGGGGGTGAACTGTTGAAAATGTCGATTGATTGTATTGAAGGCGGTCATCGGTCGTTGGATGTCTGATGGTCTGCGGGTGATTCAAGAAAATCTAATGGCTTGAAATACACAGCTGTGGAATTCATCCGCTATATTATTATATTTTCGATATTATAGGTCTGTCGACCTTGTTATAATATAAGGTCTCTGGAGACTAAAAGGGGCCGGGAATAACGAGCGCACAATTGCGGGCTACATCGATAAATATAAATATAAATATATATACATATATATATATATATATATATATAGCATAGTCGTAAAGGTATTACTTTTTTTGGTTTGTTTGTATATTTTTATATATCTATATGTATATATATATAGATACACTGAAATCATCAAAATCCTAAGGGACAAAACAAAATAACAATATTTTAAAAAATAAAAATATAGGTAAGTATATATATTTACCTATGCATCTATTTTGTTATAATATATTTTTTCGTGCGCAAACTCGCATAGTAATTAGTGATGTTACATTCTGTTCGTCGATCAATAAGATTGCAGCGCAAAAATGATATCGAAACGAATTCGAAATAAATATCGGAATCTTCCGTGACAGAAATAGTATTAAGTACACAACCAAAAAATAAACGATAACAATAAATTAAGGCATAAAACCGTTTACCGGTTTTAATAAAGACCACTAACTCATTAGCGGTAATCGATTACAATTTAAGTAACCAAAATCGATTCGCCGTTCAGAAGAAAAAAGTTTTCTTCTTTTGTCCCTTAAGTCAAATGAAAATTTAATTCCTTTTTGATTTTTCATGTTATTTTCCTTTTAATGTAGACCTTTTTTCCTGATTAATCTGAAACTAATCATTTGTATCTTTGTTTGATGAAATGCAAATTTCTCTATATAACACTATACAGCGTTATTCGGATGTTTTTCTAAAAATGTCGCACTGTCGCAGTAGTCAGACACTTTAGCAGACTTGTTTTCCCGTTACCCATCCAACCTGTCGTTTCCTGATCATTTCATCTTTAGATTTCTATTTAGTATTTATTTACAATAATATTTATCTTGGAGCAAATCCGTGAGCAGCCTACGTACCAGCAGCCTATCTGTATTAGGCTTATGCATTTTATACTTAAATAACAAATTCTCTATTATTTTATCTAGTTGATTACAAAATTTGCTATGTTAACTTTATGTAAAAACATTTTTTTTTATGTACCAACTAATTTTGCTATATCTATCTTATTTTCCTAAATACGTCAATGTTCAAACGTTTGAAATAGGTAATTAATGTTTATACAGTTGAAATTCTACAGCGGCCGTTACCCTGGTGAAACTAATCTTAAACCGCTCCATGATTTAATATTAATAATTATTACGTAGTATTAAATTCAATTGATTAACAAAAAAAAATTAAATAAATATCTTATGTCAACCTTAATTATTTTGGTTATAACCGGATTACTATTGTTACTAAACAAACAGAACAAATTTCATTGATTGGTATTAGCAAAGTTTCCAAACATTTGCTTACGATATGACTGAATTCTCCTGTTATCAAACTTTAAAACTTTGTTATATCAATAATATCAATGTATCTCTCGTACAACTATAGTATGATTACCTACCTATGAACTATTTGAAAGCAACTCGTTTTCATTTTAAAATATTTTGAACATGGAGCTACCGATATATTTGGTAGCCATTTTAAGCCTCGAAATAAAGTATAAAATCCGAAAGCTAATTAAAAATATAAGAACTACACCGGTTTTTAAATTAGACTTCTTACCTCCTGCTCCGTGTTATTAAATTTGTTATGAATAAAATACATAGTATTGGAAAACTAAAACGAATTTTACTCGAACGATTGCTGCAACAGTCCGTTGTCCGCTCCCTGTCCGAAGCCACGACCATCCACTACAGAATTCAACCGTGAAGGACCCGATGGCATTTTTCCATTCCGTAGAATGTTTCATAAACGATTGTTCGTGATTGGTCAATTTATTATTTATGTCATAATAAATAATAATGATATAACTATGAAAATTGTTCCGTATTATTTGCACGTGCGTCAGGAAACTAACCAGAAATAACCAGTTGTGAAACATTGTATGGTATGGGAATATGCAACGTACTAGAGACGAAGTGGAAGAATAACATAATTAAAACGTAACAATTCCGTTAAGTTTCACCGACACGCCATCGTCGCGGCACTGTCATCACGCAAAATACCTTTGGAAACCACGATTTCGGTGAGCCGAATTAAGGGTTAGGATGGAGGTACTTATCTATTATACAGATTGATATATTATACGTTTCTGATTCTGAATGGAGGGAAGAATGTTTTGGTTTTGCAATGATGATTACATTTTTTTTTTTTTTTGTGAACATCTTTTCTACCGGAAATATAACTAGGGTAGTACTTTAGGAAAGTAAAATTTTTTGATTTTCTCAGGAGTTTTGATAATAAATGTAAAAGCTAGGAAACAATGTAGGAAAAACGGGAAAATGTGAAAATGTATTTTTTTCAAATCGTAAATTTTAATGGCTTTTAAAATGTAATGATTAATCTTCGAGTACAGATATACATTACATTTCCCTTGTATCTTCCCAATACTATCTTAAAACAGTGGCCCACCCATAGTGCGAATTATGTCCGTTTATTTTTTATCACTAACGAACGATTATCTACGAAGATCTTAGGTTAATTCGATTTCAATTTTTTTTTTTTTGAGCCTTACAGAAAATCGTTTAAGATTTTTTTACACTGTTTTAAATTTTTTAACCATATTTTTATACTACACAGAAATTGGGAGACTAGGGGAGTTTAGCTCCAGAAATCATCTAAATGTCCCCTAAATTAATAAATACTTTCTTTAGATATTTTATTCAATTATTCTAATTTAAGAATAAGTAGTGATATTATAGCCACTTCCCAAAAAGACATTAAATATGGTTTTAAAACAGAGCAAGAATGTTTGCTATTTATATATCGAAATTCTATATGTATTAAATAGAATTATGAACGAATAAATTATTATAATATTGTCATAATAGAAATTTCCGTTAATAATCCATGGTTCACGATAAAAACAAAAAAATCACCCTCTATGTTATAAGGTGTTTGATGACTGGTCATCAAGGGGATTTTTTTTTTTAAATTTAATCGTTGAGCGAAGATAGATTTTTTTGTTTTTGTATTTGTTTTTATTTCATAGGTTTTACTCGCCGATAATAGATTTTGGACGGTAGACGAAACACGCGTGGAAAATCAATATCAATATTAAAGACCACCGTCTTTGGTGTCGCGTCCCTCGAAATGAAAACAAAAAATATCAAAACACGTATAGTCATAAGAAGTAAACGGCGATATAGTAGTACGATAATAACAGTATCGGAGGAAAAGTAAAGACGACCCGCTTTGGGCAAAGGGATAGTAATTATTTGTCAGACAGCTAAAAATATTTATTTATGATTTCTTACAGGTTTTTTTTCTTTTGTGGAAAGAATATTGACTGAGCAAAGAATTAGAATAATTTTAGTATTCTTAGTATATTTATACTAAGAATATTTCTCTTGGCAATAACCGCAACTTTATACATTACATATTATTTTTATTTGGTAGATATCTGTTATTAAAATTGTATGACTTTAGAGAAATGTTCGCAAATTTAATACAGGGTACATTATTAATTGTACGTAGTGGTCTAAAAAAAAAAAAATTGAGTTTAATGCATTTTTTTTTTTTGTATTTAATAAACTTTTTAAGATCAAATTTTGACGAAAGTAATAAAAAAGTACGACATTTCAAAATATATTTTACTGAACTTCGTTTTGAATCGTTTTTTTTTAGCAAAGATTTATCTATGTGTACAGATATAAATTAAATAACTATGTATCCTATACCTTCTCAATTTTTACCCACAACAGTGACTACACCCGTCGCCATGTATTAGCTTTTTTTTTTTTAAACGAATAAGAAAAAAAAATATTTAAGTAGGTTTTTCTATCATGAGTATAACTTATAATGAACCTTATGTTAAATTGTCAAGAATTTTAAACCATTTTATGCACATAAAATCAATTAAGAACTCGAAAATTTCAAATGTCTTTGACATGTTACCACGCGTAGAAAACGTTCAAAATGAACAAATAATAAATATTCGTTAGAAATGCGATTTCCTAAAAAATATTATTTTCACGTTGGCCCTTTTTTCATGTCCAGGTCCAGTTTTACACTTATGTATTCAAACACTGTTCGATGTCGGCTTTTTTTGGTTTTTTTTTTTTTATTATTTAAGGACACTGCCCGTGGACCCGTCTTTTTTCGCTCAAAAACACGCTTTGCTGAGTTAACCCTTCCGCCCCGTAGAGTGGCGCGCGATCCCGATCATTATTATTATCATTTTTTTTTTTTTTTTTCGTTAGAAAAACTAAAACTTCTTCACTCCGCGCACCGGACCGAATTCCGAAAGTCATGCTTCCGAACCCTACGCTGTACGCTATACGCGGCGCGCGGCATTGGCGGGGCCCCCGTTTTAAGTCCGCGTGCGAACATTATACGCGCATATTATATTATGCGCTATTATTATTATTATTATTATTATTATTATTATTATTATTATACTGTTGTAGTCGTCATCATCACAAGCCCATTGTTGCATGTGGCTGCGGTCCCGCCACAAAAGTTATCCGCGTTACGCGAGTCGAATACCAATAAATACGCGACGAACGAACGTATTATTGTCATCGCGCGCTCGCGTGTGTGTGTGTGTGTTTGCTTATACGCACAGTGTAATCTCGTTCTTTTTTTATTTTTCGTTTTTTTTTTTTTTTTTTTTTTATTATATCAACCCTATATTATTATACGTATCGAAATCGCGTTGGTGTACACGCGTCGCAATAATACTTTATCATTGTACCCTGAGCGTCGGACATCGTATCCGATAGAAAACAAATTTTTTTTTTTTTTTCCGCTTTTCTCCATACGCCCGATATAATATTATCGTGCGCCCGATACATATTCGCTCGCTACAACGTCAGAATAATATGCAACGATATACAATGTTGTACTGTTCAACGTTATATTACAATATGAGATACGCCGGTTACGTCTGTTAATATTACAAAATACAGATACATCGAAAACCATGAAAAAAAAAAAAAAAAAAACTATTTTTATATTTTGATTACTTTTGAACAGCGATTAGGTACTCGGGATTTTTCAACGGACTACGAGAGAGGGGCGGAGTTATGTTTACGAAAATTATAATTGAATTGCAAATTTCAATTAGGTACCATCTAGAGGGCTTTTCAAAATTGGCTTTTCCGGTTTTTTTTTTTTCACTTATACACAGATATTTTGTGAGTGAAAAGAGCCGTTGTACTTCGTCGGGTATATAGAAATTGAGTACCCAGTGCAAGATGTACAACTATTTGTATTTTACTGCATTTTATATGTAGTACATTTACAATGCTGGTTAGTTTAAATTGTTGTTTTTTTTTTTTTTTAACAAATTTATCTGAGTATGCTTATAAAAAAATAGATCTAAAAATCGGTATAGCTAGAGATGAAATCAAATAACACACGTTTCGTCTATAGAATATGGCATTCACTATTAATTTAGAAAATTCGAGGGGTCTTTTTTTCAAAATTATAAGAAAGACCAATTTTTTTTGTAATTTTATTAATTATTTAAAAAAAATCTGAAAAAAAAAATGAAAATTACAGCGTTACGATTTAATTGTTTTAAATTTTTACACTTTATGTTTTTTACCAGAAATATTACTCTACTAGAAAAATACCACGAAATTTGTTTTTTGATTTTCCTTGTAGTTTTTTTAATAATTGAGAAAAACCGGAACAACCGTTTAGATATAACAGGGAAATTTACGAAAAAAAATATTTTATTATTTTCAATTTTGTTTTTTTTTTTTTTTTTGTAATTTAGTTTGAAATATTCGTAGGGATTTGACATTTTGACAAAAAACTTATATTTATTTTTTTTAGTCACGATACGATTTTCAAAACATTTTTAAGCTATTTATAGATATTTTAACTTTACGGGTTTTTGACAAGAGTATCCATACAGGTGTACTTTTTTTTTTTATAAATGTTTTTAAAGTTTAAATTTTGAAGTGTATAACCTAACTTCGTTCAAAATCGTATTCTGTCAGCGGTGATTTATCGTTGCGTACACATATAAATTAAATCAGTATGTATCTTGCATTCCCAACTTCCCAGCGACAACAGTGACGCGCCCGTGAAAAGAATCGGCTCTTCGATTATTACAACTTATGTTTATTTTGGTTATTGGCTATTGTTTATTTTAAACAGTTGATGACTTGATGAAAGATGACGTATCAGTGCGCTTTTACATAATTTTTTTTTTCTCTCCAACAAACATTTTTATTTTTATTTCACCACGTTAGAATGTTATGATAATTAATAGTGTTATTACAATAATGTTTTATGCAAGTCTGTGAATTAATTTCTATTTAAACTGGCCTGGTGATTATATAGATATGCATGTATTGTTATTATCATTATTATTATATACCTACCATGTGTATCACCAAAGTAAACACAATTGTTAGGATAATGTTGAACTCGAATAACCGGCCGCATGTTTACAGTGGCTTATTGAAATAGTATAAAGCTACGAAATTATAATACAGTACCAACATGTATGGAGTAATCCACGAAATAAGCAATTTTAGATTAATCAAACGGGCGGCGGTTCTAGACGCCATAAACCGAATGGTGCTTTAGATCGTTGTAAAATGCAAACTGCGATATTTGTGTATATGTCACATATTTTAAACGAAAATATAATATTTTATCGATAAACGGGTACTCAAAACAATATTCGTTAACATTGAAAATGCGTTTAACGAGCTATAATATAATATGGGTGGGTATAGGTACCGACACAAACACACGCTCTAATGTAAAACGGAATTTTTCAAATCAATTAACATCATTGCGTATGTACCCAGGAATAATCGAGAAACTCTTGACACGGCAATTAAACCGTTCCAAACATACAATATATATGATTTTAAAATTTTAAAAATATTTATGAAAAAAACTACGAGTAAACACTCGATTACTGATTGCATGATTCAACGACGAAATTAACGACGTCCTATTCGATATGCAAATTAGCAAAAATTCAATTTAATACCCACACACTACGGTTAATTTATTGCGTAAAAAATAATAAACTGTGCGTACTGTTTACTAACACCAGGCCTGTAAATATGAAACCGGAATTTTCCTATAAATACCTCTAGCTATCAATGTAGTTATTAACAAATCGCACAATTGACGTTATTTACATGCTGACTGACAAAAGTAACTCAACTCGTAACAATACCAGTTTCGTATAACTTCATAGTTTATTAATAGCATTGAACATGCCGAATTTCGTGCCCGGAAATTACGATTTGCGTGCAGCGTTAATTTTCTGTTACCATTCGAAAGAAAACTGCTGCGGAATCGCATCGGATGCTTGTCGAAGCGCTCACGGTGAGCATGGTCTTGGAAAATCACAGTGCTTTAAGTGCTTTAAAAATTCGAACGAGACGATTTGGACGTGAAAAACAAAGAACGTGAAAAACGAAGAACGTGAAAGACCGACGAAAAATGTTAATTGGAGACAATGCTCTGCATCTGGTGGGATCAGTAGGGTGTGATCTATTATGAGCTACTCAAAACTGGCGAAACTGACTCGGCGCTACCAAGAACAATTAGTGATCGATTCAAATCAAGCGTTTTGTATTCTGGATATTTTTTCTCGGAAAACATTTTGTTAGTAAATAAAATCATATCTTGTTTTTCACGTGATTCCGCCCGGTGGTACTTTAATTAAAACATTTTTAAAATTTTAAACAGTTTACCCCTTTGATCCTTTTTCTCTTGGAAAACAATTTTTTAATTAGTAAAAACTAAAAATGCTTTAAATTGTTTACACATTTCCTTAAAAGGTGTGCTGACTATTCACGTGCTGGTGAAATTATTTGGGAAAATTATTTTTCTTAATTCCCGAAAGTATTTCTAAAAATAAATGTTTAAAAGAGCTGATACTGCTGTTGTGTGCCACTATTTTAGGGTGTAAATTCAAGAGCGTAAGATATATAAAGTTATTCAAATTATATCTGTGTACCACAATAAACCATTGCTAATAGAATAAGGTTCTAAGCAAAATTCAGTTAAATATGTTTTTAAATGTCATGACTTATACGGTTTACGAACAAATTTGAACTTGAAACGCTTATAAAATAAACGAACATAATATTCAACATTTTTTTTTCGCCATTAATTAAAACTTATAATGAACCTTATGTTAAAATTTTAAGTGTTTCTCATTTGTTAAATAATTGTATCCACATAAAACCAAATAAGAACTAGACAAATTCGGAAATGTCCATATAATATCTCACAAATTGCCAAAATGTTTTGAACATATGTCCACGTCTAAAAAAAGGTAATATAAGTATTCTGTAAAAATGTTCTCTATATGAATATTTTTAACCGAATGAAAAGACAAACCGATAGAACCGGTACACATTATCGATATTTCATCATACGATTTATTTATCGCACGGAAATATTATCGTATGATATTGTAAATATCACGCAGATAGCAAAAGTATATTTTATTGAGATTTATACAATTATTTTTTTATTATGAAATGTTTTAATTTCCCATATTTTTCATTTAAATAATATTTGGAAAATATTTATAAAATAACAGATAGCCGCGGAATTTTCATTTATTAAATATTTTAAAAATTATACTTTTCTAACGGAAAAAACGGAATCTCTTAACTTTCCACAGTCGGGTACTGAATTCGAGATCCCGTTTAATCCAACCTAACGCCCTATCCACTAGACTACCTATCTAATTATTAAGAAGTCGGTTTTTCGACCACATAATTAAATTTCAAAATATTGTATAATATAGGTACCTATCTATACAATGACATCTCGGAATCGTGTACTGTTCAGGAACAGGAACTTTAACCGCTTCTGAATAGTGCACACCAGTGGCAGGAGGATGGTGGAGAGGTTGGTGGGGGACGTACCACCTTTTGTTGTTTATCGGTTATTTCGGTGTATTTTATCGTTTGAAAAAAAGGAATTAAAATTGGCTACAGGAGTATACTGTCCAGTATAACGTACGACCAAATACAATTTACTAATAATAACAATTTGCATTAACTGCCATCTACGTTACAGATTATAGGTTTTTTGGTGTGTGTTATTTTATGTGCGGAGATGATGACCGAATCTCTTGGCGTACTCTCAATCGTAATAATATTTGTTTATATCGGCAGATTTTTCCGATTTGGCGATTCCTGAGGTGTACAATCAATCGGCCGTTAAATAACGGTCGGGTCTAAAAACACGGAAAACGCTAATATCGCTATTAATATCTAGACTGTTTACGCAGCTGCGGGCGTGCATCGGGCGAAACGCGATGACAAACCGCTAGGTTCATACGTAGGAAATATACATCCACGCTGTTATATATTGTTACCGTGCCTGTGGCAGAACGTCACGTAGAAATATCGAATTATTTTCGAATCGTAATATAATTATTTGGATTTTGACGGTATTACGATCGTACATCCAGAATTTTATTTAGTTATTTCATCAATGACGTCGCATTATTAATATATTCGAAATATCATTTCAACAATTCGTTAATAATAACATAGCTATAATGACATTTAAACATGTGTTTAAACAATAATATAATAACAATGTATTCATAATATTTTTTAAATATTTCATTGTTAATAATACAATCACAGTATTATTGTTTTACAAAATATTTATTTGATAAACTACCAATATTTATTTAATAATATCATATTTTTTTTTTTTGATGAAAAACTGATATTAATATAATATTATCATTACGGTATGCTACATGGACATGGTTATAAATTGAGCTGTCCACACAATCACGATAAAATATCGTACGATGAGATAACCGTACGACGCCTCGAAAACTGTCGGATGCACTTTAACTACGATAAGAATATCATAAGGCAATAATTGTTTTGTCTACATGCAGTTAAATATTATGATAATAACACACCAATGATAATTGTTTTAAAATGTTTTAAAACATAGAAAGTTTTTAATATCCATCATGTCTTTGGAGGACGAATGTGACCGTTCTACTGGAGCCGATTCGCCGTCAAAATCGATTGAATTTGCGGATGAGGATATTTAAATGTTGATAATGATATTCTTAGCTGCTTGGAAAGAAACTTGTATTCACTGTGAAATGCACAACACAACATATACTGCACACTGCACAGTTCAATACTGATTGCGCAATTTATAAATTACATTATATTTTTCGTATATTAATTTATAGATCGTACAATGAAATGTCCGTAGTATGACTTAACCAACACCTTATTCGTGCGATAAATGAATAGTATCGGCCATGTGTACCGGCTCATAATCGTAAATAATGAAACCGTTTACGCCATAATTGTTGTCGGTATTCCAACGGTTTTTCCTGATTATTAAGAAAACTCCGCGGAAAAAAATCGACTTTCTTACACACCGACTAAACGGAATTTTTTCAGAAAGCATGTTACATTTGAATACAAAACTTTTTGTCGGCAAAATTAAGGTAATATAATCGTGAACGCATTAAATTTGACCGTTATTCCTATACTGTTTTTTCCGATTTTTCCCAGTTATTATGAAAACAATGGGTGCAGATAATTCAATATTGTATACCTGTAAGCAACAACAAACCGTTGCTTACGAAAAAACGATTCTGAACGTAGATCAGTGAGATAGCGATGTTTTGTCAATGATACATGTGTTATTTTGTAGCAAAATAATTAAATAGGCTTTATACGTTTTCTTCGATAATATTCGTTAAATGTTGTACCGATTTTCCCGGTTTTTCGCGTTCGCTGGGAAAACTCTTGGGGGAAATCGAAAAACGACCTCTGTAAAGTGCCTCGCTTGCGAAATTTCCGTCTGGAAACGTTGCTATCGTTAACAGCCGGGGCCAAAGCGCCGGTAGAAAAGTCGTGTGCCGGAAAAAAAGGAGGCCGCCGTGCGTTTCAACTGATACGTACGTTTCGTCGGAACAAAACATCCACGGTGTACCGTCGGCGCGTCAAATGGTCGGGTTTTTTCGAAACCCGTCGCCCCGCGCACAACGGCGCTACAAAGCAGTAATAATAATAATAATAATGATAATAATGATAATAATAATGATAATAATGATAATAATAATGATAATAATGATAATAATATTAAACAATAACAAAACGCTTTCGGTGTGCGGCGACGGATTTTATATTAATATATAACATTACCGTTCCGGCGGCGCGCGCGGTGCGGGGTGCCGTCCTAAACGCGCGCGGCTCTTGACAGCGACGGGCGGCGTAAACGGAGGACGAAAATATCGCGCCGTTTCCGACGAATTCCGCCGGCACCCGGCCGCGGCGGCGGAGACGCGTCCCGTTTGCGGAACATCGGCGACACCGGCGGCCGGGTCCGGCGTGGCGCGCCCCGGGAAACATCTTGCGAGTCGCACGGGCGCGGAGACGTTGACGCGAAATTAATTAGCCGGATTCCGGGACACCGCGCCCTGTGCGCGCGTGTGCACGCGAGCGAACGAGCGTTTATACGCTGTCGTATTTATTTTCACGCGCGCGCGTACAAGACAACGATGGCGACTCCGGCCCGCCGCACTAAACGGTGGGACGCTACTCGTCGTACGCAGGTACCTGTAACAGCGATACGGATCGGCGAGACCGTTTTCGGTGGAAATAAGACGGCGGAAAAAATTGGCTCGTTATCGGTCGGCGCGTTTTTCGATAGAACTGGTGACGCCCGGCTATACACAGTGCACCACTGTGTATATACTATACAGGGTGTACCGTGATTTTGTGTCGCCGCAAGCACGCCATTACTACAGAACAGGCTCGGCGCAGTGACCCGATAACGGCATTTTTGGAAATTGTTTTTTTTTTACTTCCAGAAACCCGATTCTTTTTACATTTACGGCCGTTCTACACGTAGAGATCTTTAAACGGGTTTTATCGGATAACCGACCAATTAACCTCCCGACCGTTGTCGTACGATTTACCGAAACTGCGTGTGCGACATATTTAAATGGTTTTGTTCAATAGCGTGTGCGATGGATTTTGAGCGGAATGTTTTTTTTATTTTTATTGTCACTGTGCTTACTTATTCTTTCACGTATGTGTATTGAAGAAATCTCGATTCAATCACAAAATGACAAACGAGTCCATCGTTAAATTTCGGGTCTGCTCGTCGTAAATCATTTAATGATTTACTAAGTAGTATTTCGTACAAATTGTAGGAAAAACGTTGAAAAGTGTAAAATATTAAAAGATTTATTATTGTTGATTCGGTAATTTTTTGTTCAAAGTTGGTTAAAAATAATCTAATTTTTTAGAATATACTTATATTAGCTTTTTCGTAATAATGTTTTCAAAACGTTTGAAGTATTCTTAAGCATTCGATATTTTCGAGTGTTTTTTGCGGATACAATTTTTTTTGCCAAATAGAAATCCTTGACAATTTATTATATGTTCATTATAAGCTGTACTTAGTGGGTGGTAAAAAAAAAGTTGAACGTAATGAAGTATTTTAGAATCGGAGCATAATGAGGGATTTATCTGTTTTTACTATTAAGATGTGTGTATGTTTTTTTTCTGCCTGTGAACATCTTTTCTACCAGAAAACTTGCTCGGAAGT